TGATGGTCAGGTCTGGGACAGACGGGCGCTTAGAAAAGAGGTTCCCTCCATGGTCTACTCTGCTCCTGTATGATTTCATGCTGTTTGCTTATTACCAGGACAGGACAGCTAGGGGGACATTATGAAAAGAAGAACGTTCATTTTAATACTAAATAGATGGATAGATAAAGGATGAAGACAATTATTGAGTCCTACAGCCACTTCTTGTCTAGCTGTAGTCCATCAAGGGCTAGATGACATTTCTCACGGCAGCTTTCCTTATTACCCCCTCAAAGTCCACTGCTGTTACCATATGTGTTTGAATGACCACAGAGGTGACCACAGAAACCCAAAAACCAGTTTACATGATGGAAGATGTCAGTTTCAGTGGTGAATAAAGGGTTGGGCAGCACAAGCAATTAATCGTCTAGATTCCTTATGACCTGGATACATACAACTACACCATCCATCTGCTGCGTTCAGCACACATGAATGATGGCTGAGCCTCTCACATGATCTCACCACCATGGGTCATAGGTATGAAAACATAGCAGTCCTTAAAGATAAACTGGTGATCTGAATAAAATCTAGGGGCACCTAAACACCCCCTCACTACTCTTATGCAGATTGTTACACGTGAGGCTGGCCAGAGGCACCAAACTACTAGCCCATCACTGTTCTGGATGAGTCTTGGCTCGGTTCTACTCAAAACTGTGACCACCACCCGCTCCTACCAACCCAATCAGTGGTGGCTGGGGCATTCCCTGCCCCACAGTTATACATCACAAAGGGACAAGGAATGCCCCCATTGCAACTCCCACCACTGATGGGGGTGGTAGTCAGTTTTGATTGGGCTTGGGTGAACTAGGTTTGCCCCAAGCCCAGCCTCTCATTAATCCAGGAGACCGGAGCACTCTTGATCAGAAATCGCCACTGGTTTTGGGGCTCCCAGGACGCTCACTAACAGGCATTTCATTCACACTACTAGTTTTGTTTTTTGGAAACACTTTACAGACATGAAACGTTCCCCATAAGAACAACTCAGACTTTGTCTTCCTCACCTATCCTATCCTGCACTACAAACACGGATACATTGTGTCAGGTCACCGCAAATGTCTGCAGAATACAATCCAGGGGCCGGAAGAACCTGACAAAGCCGTCATCAGGGACGCTCTTCTCGTCTGTACTTCAAGAGTGATAAGAGGATACCAGTGCAGCCGCCACCAATACGTCCTCCATAACCGCCACCAATACGTCCTCCATAACCGCCACCAATACGTCCTCCATAACCGCCACCAATACGTCCTCCATAACCGCCACCTGGGGGCAACAGAAAATCCACATTTACATTGTGTTAGTCGGTAACTACACCTAGACTTCTATGTATGGAGACTGCTGAACAGCCAGTGATGATCAGATCAGCAGAATAAGTCTGGAGGCATTATGGGACATTCTGTAATCCTGACCACATATTATAAATGTGTCCCCCACCAATACGGCCTCCAAAACCCCCACCAATACGTCCTCCATAACCGCCACCAATACGTCCTCCATAACCGCCACCAATACGTCCTCCATAACCGCCACCTGGGGGCAACAGAAAATCCACATTTACATTGTGTTAGTCGGTAACTACACCTAGACTTCTATGTATGGAGACTGCTGAACAGCCAGTGATGATCAGATCAGCAGAATAAGTCTGGAGGCATTATGGGACATTCTGTAATCCTGACCACATATTATAAATGTGCAGACACAAAGGAAATGTGTGCGAGGAGCCTCTGATGGAAGCAGAGGCATGCCGACAGCATTCACAGTGATGCCCAATAGTCTTCGTACTCTGCAACCTGCAAATCAGACAATGGCAGAGCGCAGTGTCCTTCAGGGGATAAGAAGTTATTTGAGAGACAGAAAGAGGACATCCCATTGCTGAACACTTCTTCTAAATGCCAGCTGCCTGGCTGTCTGTCTCTGGCTTGACTACACTGAGATTCACTGACCTGGAAGAAGCATGCACTCTGATCCGCTTAATTGCTATGATTCATAAAGCAGTGAAGCCAGAGAAGTGGCATTTTCTAAGTGGTGGTACCTGTGTCACTTGCAGGTGTGCACGTCATAGATGCGCACGCATTCCTGGCAGCTGACATAACAGCACCAGTGGAAGATGCAGTGGCATTTCTCTTTGCGTTTCTCAGTGCGGGTGTTGTGGCCTCTTCCACAGCACAGCAGATCACAGCCGTCTATCCCGTGGGATGTCACGTTGCAGGAACGTCCCCGTGTCCCGAAGGAGCCAGTCTCTGGGTTAGGTTCACAGAAGTTGGGGGATGTCTCATAGTACACAAGATCCCTCTCAGTGGGAGGTTTGAAGAGAGAGTATTTGGCCCGCAGGGTTTCCACCCATCCTCGCGCCTCCCGATGTTTCTCCACGGCCATCTCAGAGGCACTGTCGTACTTATCCTTCAAATGGTCACCGATGGCTCGGAAATCTGGCTGGGACCACCAGCAGGTCTTCACCTCACAGCTGCCAGACAGGCCGTGGCACTTGCATTTCAGGTGCATGTGGTCCAGGATGGTCTGTGAAAGGAAAGGTACAAGCACAGCATATTAAGTCTAAGAAACACAAATCCTGCTTGCCACTTCTACAATCTGAGGAACTTCTTCCCACTCAAGCTTTCATCACAGCCAGCTTCCCCCAGACATGTTATACATCTCCTCATATATGTCAGTGCCAATGTACTTCTCCAGTACGACACGTGAAGCTACCTATACCTGTACGCTTATGAAATGTCACTGGTCAAGTGTACCGCAGCTCATCACACACTTGTAAAGCTGAACGTCATTTCCAATATTCATTAACTTTTTTTCAAAAGCAGCTAATACAAGTAGCCGTCTATGACTTGTTGTTATCAGCTTCTAGCAGTCTGACAGCAGAGCTTAGACTGGTAGCAGCACAAAGAGCCAAACAGTGGTGCTTCAGTGTGGTCATGTGTTAACAAGGAGGAGAGAGCTGAGCTCATCAGCCTGCTGCTTCTCCAATCATTGTGCAGCGACAAGTGTAAGAGTAAGTATAACATCATTATGCATGTATTGGCCTTTTGCTGCACTTTGCAGCACACAGAGCAGTGCAATTCCAGCTGCAGGTATTTGTACACTTCCATTTACAAATGCTGCATGTATTACAGAGCTGTATGTACTGCATGCTTTTCTATCTTTTGCCCAGACATTAAAAAGGAACCTGTTCTTGTTCTTTATGTCTCAGTGTATGATTCTTTTCTAGCCAGAGAACCTGTATGTTCTGCTATTTTCTAACAGCTTAGTGCCCCACAATCCCCAGATTGTTACAGCGGTGCGTTTCTCTTACCGCCCTTCCTGCCTCATTATTGTGCCTATTCATGGCCGATCTGGCATCTGGTCTGTTCTCTCTGGCATCAGCAAATTCTCGGGACACCAGGACCCCAAAGTCTGCGTCTTCACTGCAGCCGCCCCACTTCCAGCCGTCGCCTGATGAGCCTTTGTGGTGGGAGTCACAGCCGCAGATGGTGGAGCTGCCCTCTGCACAGGACCGGGTCACAGCAAAGGCCACTCCAGCTGAAGCGATGGCGTGAACAAAGGCCGACTCCCGTGTGGCTGCAGGAGACAAATAGAAGGCACACACTGTTACATGTGCTGTGATACCAACATATTTATATTGTGGTTACATCACTATTAGTTCAGAAACACAAATGGGAAATATTGCAGGACGACACTAATGAAGTAGCAGGACGTGGTGGAATAATGGACAGCTTGGGAAATCACCATGTACAGCCAAGTACAACTTTTACCTACTAAGGGCAGCTGACAGGGGACCACAGCATGTGCAGCGACCTTCGCACAGCCTATGGAACGCACAATGATCACGGTTTGCTTTTATTTCTTCCTCCAGGCCTGCTCACCTTTTTTGTCACAGGATTGTCATCACTCAGCATTACTGGTATATGATTGAGCTGAGTGCGTTTGATATTACACATCTATAATGGCAGATATTTAGTGCAATATACAGTCGGGGGGAATTTATCTTAACTGGAGTAGACAAAATTTGGAGCAGTTGCCCAGGGCAACCAATCAGCTTCTCTCTTCGGTTTGTTCAGTTAAGATTTGAAAAGGAAAGGTACAAGCCGATTGGTTGTCATGCACAGCTGCTCCAGATTTTGTCTGCTCCAGTTTTGATAAATTCCCCAGTAAACTGTATTTACTTCAGTCCCTGTCCTCAAGGAGCTTACACTTCCTCAAGGAGCTTACACTCTAAGGTCCCAATCTCACTTACATACAAGGACAATTTAGATAGAAGCCAATTAAACTTCCAGCAAGTGGGAAGGAAAAACACACACACAGAAAATCTGCACCCTCCGTACAGAGCCAATCAGAAGGCGGTTTTAAAGATTACAGAAGAGGATCCCTACAGAGCCAATGAGGAGGTGGTTTTAGAGGGTACAGGAAGGGATCGGTACAGAGCCAATGAGAAAAGGAGGTTTTGGCGGGTACAGGAAGGAATCCATACAGAGCCAACGAGAAGGCGGCATTGGAGGGCGCGGGAGAAGATCTGTACAGAACCAATAAGGAGACGCACCATCCAAGACCTCCTTCTCATTGGCTTTATACAGACCATCTCCTGTATCATTCTCCTCACACAGGACACACACAGCATTACACGGAGTCACTACTAAAAATGATCTTTTTCCCAGATATGTTGGCAGGATGTGCATGCAGGCAGGTGAGAAAGCCAGCACATGAGAAGAAAATGTTGGCAACAGAAGAAAAGTATTCCTTTTTTGTAATTTGTATCCACCTAAAAATGTCTCGGTGCCTCTTCTTGCTGAGAGATGTGCCCTGCTATGTCCCAAGCACAGACTGCAGAGAGCCGAGTTTAAACTTCGGAGCGTGAGCTGTGTTGCTGGAGCAGAGAAGTCTGGGTATTACAGTGCAGATCTATGCATCACGCAGTAAAGGGATTAATCCTCTTATTAAAAAGATCTCCCTCCTCTTCCCAGTGTGGCCAGTTACCTGCTGGGACGCTCAATCCCCTTTTGTGTTCTGGTGTCACAGTGTATTAGTGACATAATGATGGACGTCCCTGGGACCCGCGTGTGACCAGACTGCCATTTCTCTGCCGATCCGTAGCAACAGGCAACTCTGCGCAGACTGCTCGCTGTCCCCTGCTTGTGGGGGGGGGGACAGCGAAAGGGCGTGTGAATGGTCCTGGAGTCCTGCTGGGCCCAGAGCCCCTCTCAGCCTCTCAGTGGGGAGGAGGCTTAAAACTCCTTTCATTCTGCACTAAGCCCATTTCACTCATTCAGCCAGTGTTACCGAGCCGCCAGCCTCCGTGAGAGCAAAACCTGCATGCCGCTATCTCTGGGAACCTGCTCCCCTCTCAGCCTGGGACTGTGCTCTGTAGCCAGGATAAACCTATTCCTCAGCTATATAGATGTATAGATATTTATTGCTCAAGCCAGTATGCAAAAACCGTAAATATCCTTCATTCACACAAGTCATGTTATATTCATGTTCTGAAGAAAATTGATGGCCCGGATGTTGCAATCTCATCTACATTTGGATCAGATCATCCTAAAGTCCATCAACATTTTCTATGCTAAGTTGTAATTTATTTATTACCCATTAGTACCAATAGTCTATTCAGAATAGAGAACTGCACCCTAAGAATGAACATATACACCACCCATGAGTTGGTGTGCATAGTTCAGGATAATAGCTGCGCTGCACTGCTAAGCAAATAGCACAGCATGCATGTATGTATTGGATGCTCCGTCCTACACATATAATCACAAACTATGCACAGAAATATGTATTATAACTAGGGATGCACCGATACCAGTGCCGATACTAGGCATTTACATGAGAACTACCAGAGTTTCAGCAGTTGCAGCTGGGACCGGGCCCTGGCGCCCCACCACTGATGTCATTAGTCTGTATTGGTCATTAGTCTGTATTGGTTTAGAAAAACTGTCACATGACAATACACAAAAATGTATCAGTACTTGTGTCTGTGAGGACTTGGACAAGTATCGGTTCTTGTATCTGTGAGGACACCTGATGTATATAAACAGCACATATTGGATTTTCTGCAGTTCTGGTAAGTGTGAGAACAGCACGGCTTTGGTTAGGACACCGGCCAAATACCTTTATCCAGCACTGGTCCGAAGATGGCGAGACTGTCATGGATGGTGGTGCAGTTCCAGCGCCTGCCTCTGAATTGGTGTTGGCACTCCTGGATTCCCAGCTTCACCCCTTCTGCCACACTTGGCATGATCTCAATGTAATTCCGGCAGAATCGCATCTGCTTGGGCACCAGTCCTGGTATGGATCCACAGAGAATGGGCTGTGAGCTGAGGGAACTGTACTGCTGCCCCAGTGCCAAAGACCTGTGGCGTAGACAAAGAAACAGATCAAGAGTCAGTCAGATCAAGAGTCAGTCAGATCAAGAGTCAGTCAGATCAAGAGTCAGTCAGATCAAGAGTCAGTCAGATCAAGAGTCAGTCAGATCAAGAGTCAGTCAGATCATCCCATGGTCCCTGGTCTCATACAAGTGCTCCAATAACACTGCACTGAGATCTGTTCCCCATGGTCCCTGGTCTCATACAAGTGCTCCAATAACACTGCACTGAGATCTGTTCCCCATGGTCCCTGGTCTCATACAAGTGCTCCAATAACACTGCACTGAGATCTGTTCCCCATGGTCCCTGGCCTCATACAAGTGCTCCAATAACACTGCACTGAGATCTGTTCCCCATGGTCCCTGGTCTCCTACAAGTGCTTCAATACAACTGAACTAAGACCTGTTCCCCAGGACCCACCCCCCACAAGATGTATTGATTCAAGATGGAACTGCTATTGTGTAAAAGTACCAGTGACTTGTCTGGCCTATAGCACCTTTATTTGTAGATTTCCCAGCTATAGGTTGTATAAGTGACACAGTTCCTGACCGCTCAGATGAAGACAAAGTGATAAGGAGTTGTTGGAGTTGATTGTGGCCTTACTAAGCCATGACTTAACAAGTGGTCTCATGATATTGTATTCATATCTGATCCCCAATGTCCTTGGTCTTTAACTCCTCTTCAAATGACATCCCAGGCTCTTATGTCCCAAGACTAACCTTGCGATAAATAACTTTGAGGATTTGTGTTTCTCTAGGAAGCGGACACACTCCATGCATTGGTGAGTCTCCTCTTCTGTTCCTCGGGGAGACCTCATTACAAAGGACTTAAGACCCCCATATCCTCATCATCGCTCACCCAGACAGAGCCACACCAGACAATACTGCTCATCCTATAGCCTAATCCTCAAACAATACAAGAGATTAAGATGCCCCGGATATTACCTAGTGGTAACTTATTCCAGGTCGTCCAGCTGGGTACCAGCGTAATCCTCCTTGGGCAGACAAATGTCAATGGACCAATGCGCTACAATGACTCAAACACTGCCCAGATATTCAATATAAATTGGTGAGAAAAAAGCCACATCACAACTTTATTTCAATGTAGCAACCATGGCTACCTAATCCATACGGCAAGCACCCTTTATAAAAGGGAGAACAATGGGAAGTCAATCAAACCCTTTACATAGGATATTAATATCTGTTCTGACTTCCGAATGATTTCAGGACTCAATAACTGGCCACTGCTAAATGGAAGAGCAGGGCAAAAGGAGAACGGAGAGGTTGCCTATAGCAACCAGATTCCAGCTAACATTTTTTGTTCATGGATCACTTTTTATAAAATGTATCACTTTAGGCAACAGGCCTGCTCTGGTTGGTTGTGCACCATGTAACATATTTACACATATAATGGTAGTGTGAGAAACTCTGCAACAGAACACAGACAGAAATGCATCATTTATTATTATTATTCTTTAGGGGAAGGCTAGGACCCCCTGTTTTGTCCTCACTTCCCATCTGGTGCATCTGTTGTCACTGGGACAGGAAGTCAGGGGAACCTTTCCAATGGAGCATGGGATACCAGTAAAAGGGTTCTAATCCTTCACCCTCTCTATCCAAAATTAAACAGATTTTTTTTTGGCCATTTGGCTGTTTTGGCCGAGCTCACACTTTAAGAACCTAACCATGCACTCTGCTGTATATGTCCCTGAATTGCCATGCACACTGCAATATATGAAAATAGTTTATCACATGTGCTGTCATTTATTCCCTGAGACAATTTAACATTTAAAATGTGAGCCCACTGATGCTTGTGCTTTGCATGGATACAAATAGGTTGAATCGACCAATCGTCTGCTTACATATCACAGGGACTGAGATGGTGCCATGTCTGAAGCTGGTTTCCTCATATATATATATATATTTTTACAGGTATTTATACACCGCTTTACATCGTGCCCATTCACACGAGTCCCTGCTCTAAAGGAACTTACAATCTAAGGTCCCTATCTCACATACATACAGGGCCACTTTAGACAGGAGCCAACTAACTTACCAGCATGTCTTTGTTTTGTGGAAGCAACCCAGAGTACTCAGAGGAAACCCACGCAAGCACAGGGAGAACATGCAAACTCCTTACAGATGGTGACCTGGCCGGGATTTGAAACGGGGACCCCCAGTGCTACAAGGCAGAAGTGCTAACCACTACGCCACTGTGCATCACCTGCCAGCATGACTATGGGGTCCAGGTTCCCTGACATGGGTCATATTATTTTACCCCATTGAAGGTGTGATCGTCCTTCTAGCGTAACAGCAGGAATGAGAATCCAAAGAAAGGAGCGCAAAACTGAGAAATCCGGTCTCACCAATAAAGTTATTTAGACACATAAGAATATATTGTAGGTTACGCAACCTACCAGCATTCAAACATATCTGAAATATCAAATTTTACTTGATCCCAAAATGACTTAAAGGTTCAGTCCATTCCAAGTTAATATTTTAGTTATAGATGTAACCTAGTGGGCTGAATCAGCCTGTGGATTCTTGTATTTCATAGAGCCTTTATTAGCAAGATCCTCATGCCAAAATTCCAAACTCTGTTCCTCTCCACCTTTGAATTGTGGCTCTTCACACCCAGCTTTGTGTGTTCCACCTCCTCCTGTAGCATTCTTCATAATATAAAATAAATGTAAAAATGCAACACGGAGAGTGGGAACAGTTCATCATGGCCACAGCAGGTCTGCAAACCCAGTAACTGTAGCATAAGCATGCCGCCTAACGGATATAAAGGACTATCAGGTGATTTAATGCTCCAGCATTTACCAAACACTGAAATATCAGCTTTGGGTGGTCTAACCTTTAAATATCTGAAGCCACACAACTATAGAGCTGTTCTGTCCAAGAATATGAAGGGAAAACGGGTTATAAAGCAATAAGGAGGCCAGGAGCATAATAAAGAAAATGAATATATAATACTAGAACAAATCTCTCAAGCTAATACAGGACGGTGAAATCGCACTATTCCAACTCCGGTCTACCAGAATCTATACTAGGCCAGGAAAACGCTCTCATCTCTATGAACGCAATGCCAATTCCGGATACAAAGAACATATTTCTGTGTAGGAGTGAAAACCTTCCAAGCCCAGCCAGTGCTCTCCATTGAAACATAATAGCTGGTGCAATCTATTGACTTTCACATGGGGAGGAAACATAAATCCGAATAAAATATTAATAGAAAATATATGATAAAATGTACCGTTATTGTTCCCACTGCGAATATCTACAAAGACATTTCAGTCTGAACACAACAGACATTCAGAGAGGCAGACAGACCACCACATATGGACAGAACAAATCTTAAAGGGGTGGGGCTATGCTGTAATCCTGTGGAGGTTATGATGTGAATATTGGAAATATCCAACATCGCCTATAGCAAACATTACCATACGATACCACATGGATCTTTATGATACCACATGGATCTTTAAAAGGACACGAATATATCAAATGTGATAAACTAATCATTGTATGTGCAGAACACATTACAGTATTATTCCTATTATTATTTACAATGTCTTTCACATTTAAATTCACATCCAGCAAAAGTGACAGTGACAGAGGCTGGGGTCAAAAGAAAGGGGGGGG